AAGTATTCCGTCGACAGAAGATATTCAAAAGACATTCATTGACTTTCTAAATAATAATATCATTTCTTATGTGGATGTTTTTCCAGATTTTGAACGGAGTCGATGTCACATTTACTCTTATCCATTTCTCATGCGATATTATACGGGTATTTCAAATAGTTTTCCAGGTGGGTTATTTGAACATGTTCGTACAGTGTCATTGTTTGATGAACGTCCTTTTGAACATGAATTTTTTCTTCGAATTCAAAAGTCATTTCCATTTATGGAAGAATTATTTTTGGACAATGATACAGCACAAAACCGAAAGCAATCTTATCAATCAAACAGCGATACTCAAAATTTATCACTTATTGAATACACTTCTCTATACAAACTTTCTATTAATACTGTTCATGATGATTATACAGAAGAATTTCTTCTTGATGCCAAAACGTATTTACAAAATAATCTTATTCTTTTTGTCAGTTATGAATCTTTACAACGAGTAACATATAATTTCAGTAGAGATGCTACTCGAACTAATTGTAGTAAAATAAGTAAATTACATTTATGCGATCGAGAAAGCCGTTGCAATTCTTTAGAGGAATATTTTCCTAATGCAAAAATATGTTATTTATTTGAGTGAAAGAGAAAACAAATCAAGTGTTAGATAAAAGAAAAATTGTTTTTTTGTTTATTGTTGTAAAAAAATAAAATTTCTGTTTGGTTGAAAAAGATCATGTGTAATAAATAAAAATCTGACAAAGAAATTATTCTTGTTCAAACATAGCGAATGCAATGGAAGTTTGCACCGAATACCCTTTCGACTGGGAGAAGGTCGTCGGATAGTTTTCAAACCAAAATTTTACCTCAGGGAGTGTTTATTCTCTCTGATTATTGGATTTCCTTACAATAAATACCTTTCCCAGGGACTTTGTAGGCGTAATTGTTCGTCAACAATTTAGGGTGTGGGTGTGAATGAGAGTACAGGTGTCTATGATCCTTACACCCACACACCCACACCCTTATTTTATTTTCTGTAATAAAATCGACCGAAAAGTCCTGAGATATACAGAAAGAAAGAATTGGGTATATGTTTTATGAAACATCAAATAGATTTCTCAATCCGA